GGATGGTGCATTGCTGGCAGGAGATTTCCAGACCACTCTGGCAGCCCAGGCCCAAGCTAGTGCCTCCCAGGAAGGTGTCTCACAGTCACAGCTCAGCTCCAGCACGGCACAGGACTGCTCTCTCTCCACTCTCTACCTTTTGAGATCACAAGAAGAAGCCCCCCGAGCTCAACATGTCTGTGTGGGGGACCCTGCAAGCTGCAAGGTAGCTCTCTAGATGGAAATATGTCAAAGTAGTCAGATGAGTTTTGTTGGCTTAATGCAGTTGTCCCACTGGAAGAGCAATCTGCAGGCTGTGTTGCTCCCCCAGGGCAACATCCACAGGATCCCAACACCTCTTCAGCAAAGAGGCACTCACAGTGAGCACCTCAGGGCTGCCTGTGGCTCACACCAGACTGGACACAGGGCCTTGGGCTGGCTCCTGGGGTGGGGCAGGAGGAGCTCACCTGGCTCCTGGGACAGCTGGCCACTCCACAGCCACTGCCTCACTCCTCGGGCCCATGCTGCCCTGGGTCTGCTGCAGGCTAGGTGGGGATGGAGGAAACAAAAAAGTCTCCTGCCCTTGCAAGGAACAATGCCAAAAGCTTGGCCTTTGGCAAGGACTCAGAGGTTTGCTCTGGCTCCGCAGAGGGCTCACACAGGCCCCTCTCCATTAGCTTGTGTCTAGCACCGTCATGGGGCAGGGATTACAAATCCCCCTAAGGCGGCTTTTGGAAATCCCATCTTGCATTACCATTTGCATTACAGCAGCCCCTAGAGAGAGCTGAGGCCTGGGCACACTCTCAGAAAGAACTGTGGGCAAGGAGAGATTGGGCAGGGGAAGACGCAGGGGAAAACCTGTGCCCAAGGCCACTGCCCTGCCCAGCAGGAACAGCTCCTGAAATCAGAAGAGAATCTGGAACGGACCTTTACCACCAGGAAGTTCAAGACCTCTACAAGGCTACAGAACAAAACCAAGCACGTTCTTCAGGAGTCACAATCACCTGAAGACTCAATGAAGAGGCAAATTTGGAGAAAAAAAAATGTATCACACTGTCTTGAGACAGCTTTCCTGATAGTAATTTTGTCTTGCTCTAAATTGACCCACTCCACTAATCCCATTTAAGAAGTGTTCCCCCATAGAAAGCCTAACTGGTGCAGAGGATGACCAAGCCCCCCTTACCCACCGACCTCTCCCAGGCCAGGGGCACCACAGCCCCTGTGTTCTGCCATCAACAGAAGCAGCCTCTGCCACAAAAGTAACAAAAGCCAAAACATCAACGGTTTGCATAAACTGCAAAAAGATGTATCTCTCTTCCTCCCAATCCCCATCAACACCCTGTTTTCTTCTGCTTTGCAATCTCTCTCTTCCTCTCTCCCAGGCAGCCAGTGCAGAGGAAGCTACAACTGGTCCACACTGGGAACTCTCCTAGTGTCCCCTGCCACAGGGAGCACCATCAATTTACACTGTTCCTTTAAGACATTATCTTTTAATTTGGTGCTTCCCTCTTTCCCCTCTTCAACTAACTGATTTATTAGTTTACATCTCATAAATTGTAACCCCTCACCTCCCCCTTCACCCTCCCAGATGCCATAAATCCCCTTCAGGGCTCTGACACCCTTCTGCATGTGGTGCAACCCCCTGCCCCCCAAAGTCACCTCTGAGTCCCCAGGGAGCGTGGGGCTCATTTGCTGGGGGTTTGGTCTAGCTCGTCTCAGCAGCTAATCCCTTGGGTGGCTCCTGTCAGATTATTAATTAGCTAAAGCGGATCGGCCCTGGAACAACATGCGGTTGGACTTCAGATAAAACAAGACGGCAGAGGCTTGGCATGTAGTTCTTTAAAGGGACTTTGTCCCTTTTTTTCTTTTGCCTTCTCTGGGAGTGGGGGGAAGGAGAGGAGAAGGAGATGGGCTGCTTCCAGAGCTGCTCACAGCCCCCAGCAGTTTGTCACCCCGGTAACAGGGCCGTGCTGTTCACAGGAGAGCCAGCACAGGCTTGGAGGTGCAGAGGACAGGAATGGCAGATGTCATCCCCATCCTTGCCCTGTGTCAGCTAAAACTTTTCCAGACATTAGAAAAGGTTTATGAACCTGTTCAGAGGCATTGCAGCACTCAGCTGGGGGTGTCTCACTGCTCCTCAGTGTAACCTCGCTTCTGCTGTCCCCTGTCCTCTCATTGCTCCCTATGGAAAACTTAGTGTTTGTACTACCCCAAAAAATAAGTCAAAGTCTGTTCCAAGGGGCCATGGCCAGCCTCATGTTGAGAACAGGTATTTTAAACAAGAAGCCACCCAGTTTGTGTGGCAGATTTTAAAGCTCCCTTTCTCATCCTGGGAAGGATAAAGAGTGAGTGGTCTCCTATGCATTACACTGGAAATCTGCAAGAACGAGCTGGAACAAGAATCAGCACTACAGATGCTGGGGAGCAGCTCACTTCCTTGCTCCCTTCCCACTTTGGATTGTTTTGACTCAAACCGATGAAGCTGAAATATCGAGTCACAATGTCACTAAACTTCATTACAAGCTCTTAACACAGATTACTTAATAAAAACCAGGCTGCTTTAATTGCTTTTCCCCCATTAGCATTTCTGGAGGAGAAAATTATGATTAATTTGAAGATGCACATTTCCCCCACCCCTGGTGCTGGCCTGTGAACCAGACCTCCTTCCCACACCAGCACTGTCCAGAGGAGCATCCCAGAGAGTGTAAATTGCACCCAAATCCATATGACTCTGAAAAACAAAGGAACCAAGAGCCTGGATGAACAGATGGGAGTAATGGTGTGAAGCAAACAAGGGAAAGAAAAATCTCCCCTCCTTTCTGGTGAACCCATAAAAAGTGGCACAGGGGAATGAGGAAGAAGCAGGCAGAGGAGGATAATGGGAGGACAGCCAGTGTGGCAGGGTTCAGAGAGCAAGGACAGAAGTTGGTAGGTGACTGACTTGGTGGGGTCCTGGGAAGCACCTTCACCTTTCTGTGTAGCTGAGAAAGCAGAGGCAGCTCTGCTAGAGGAACATTGTGTGGGTTTTCAAAACTTGGACGAAAAGCCCGAGAGCTCAGTGCTCTCCAAATGCATGTGAAATGCTCTCTGTTCCTTGTTTAGGCTCTGCCTGGATATCCAGGTCCAGGGAAGGAGAACTGTTCTTTCCCCCGGCTAGTATCCCACAGATCAGGGGCACTAGGAAGGCAGGGCCAGGCAGGGGAAGCACCCCTCATGGTTCAGCAGCTCCCTCTGGGCTGGGAAAGCCAGGGGTACAGAAGTCTCATGGGGAAAGGAAGGAGGCTCTTGGGGGGAAAGCCAGAGTCCTGGGCTGTGCTGCTACAGCAGAAGATGCAAATCAGCTCTCCTCACATTATTCCTGTGTCAGGGATCAAGGATGTCCAATTCCTACCTCTGCAAATATGGATGTAGAGAGGACAAACCCCCTCTGCTCCATACCATGTGTGACCAGCTCAGGTAGGATCTGTTCCACTTGCAGATAGCCCCAGGTAAAACAAGTCTACCAAAAAATCATTTCTGGCTTTCGGGGCAACTGGCTTCAGCTCCTGTTGTAACTAGCCCTGGCAAGGGAGGATGGCAACCAGGTTCCTGAGTAGGCTGTTCTTTAGGTCAGCATACTTCAGAGACGTGGTAATCAAGTAGAAATTGCTCCTATGTGACAACTCTTGTCAACCTTGTAAATCTTCATGTTTTTTTAAAGTCTGAGATCTTGCAAGTTACGTAAGATTTTTGTTTTGTACAACAATGTGTGTACAGTGCTATCCCTCCCTTTGCTCCCTCTGTTCTCCCACTTTCAGGGCACAGCAACCTGAAATGCGATCTGTGTGCATGCTGAACCATAGAAACCTTGGTATTATTAAGTCTTATAATTGCAGGGAGGAGGGGAGTAGCTTTTGACTTCTGAAAGGACAAGGCTAGCAATATTGTTTGCTCATTTTACTTTCAAACTCACCTTAGTTTGTCCTCTCCCCTTTTCTCTTGCATGTTCTATCAACGTACAGCTTAGACAAACTCAGGAAGAATCACAAGAAAGACACTGGGATAGATTCAAAATCAGGATAGTTCTGCAGACGAGAAATGCAGCTCTGGTACATCAGCAGATGGCTTACCTGTAGCTCTTAATAGTTAATAGTTAATATATAACTGCAGTAATAGCAAAACAGAGCCTCAACATTACCACATAATTTGTCAGAGGCAATATGCTAAAACAGCCTTTCCATATTCAGCTCAAGTAGTGAGATAAGCCTCACCTCCAGCACTGCCCATGGGCTGAGCACCAGCTCTGGAATGAGCCCCCAGCAGAAGACATCAGAGAACTGCAACCATTCACTTTACACTATTTGTTCATTTTTAAAATTTTTTTGTTTTATCAACAGATTTCTACGATCTACACTTTGAACATGCATTTCCCTCGAACACTCATGTGCATACTTAGCACTGATTGCTCCAAGTGCTTTCCAACTGGTTTTCCTTGAGGAACTCTGCAGGTCAGCGTTCCTGCTGGCTGGAGAGACAGACAGGGTATAAACAGTGCCTACCAGAGCTGAGCGTGCTCCTAAATGTTAATGGAACTCTGCAAACTTGCAAAGCACTATTATTATTTTTTCAGCCAGCTGTTTCATCAGGGTGCCACAGAACTACTGCCTGTACCCCAGCTCAGAGAACTGCTGTTGGATCTAAGGATGGGAAGAAATATTATGGCATGGTTAAAGGAATCAGAAGATCTGGCTTCTCCTCCCAACTCTGCTTCTGAGTCATTATTAACATAAAATCAGGTTTGTTACATCAGTGAAGCTTGAGTAAATAAACCACAACTCATCACTGTGTTTTATTTTGCAATATTTCAGTGGGCTTCTCTCTACAAATAAACACTATTAAAGACCAGTGCAATTGCAGGTATATGGGGAAGGAGAAATGAAAGCATCTAAACTGGTCTAAAACCCTGATGAAGAACAGGGTAAAATCTCAGTTTTTTGGAGGATAATGGTTTTCACAGGACAGGCATGTAAAAAAAAAGACAACCCTTATTTGGGGACACTAAAAGACAAATGAGTCATGCCTGCAGGTCTGATAGAGCTGATGGGTAAAAAATATTGGGAAACATCCTAATCCCCTTCTGAGGAGCCAAGGCTGAAATCCCAATGCCACTGAAGTTTACAGTAAAACTGGTGCTTGCTTCCCTAGCACCAGGATTTAACCTCTATAAATTTCAACTGTGAAGACAGAAGCCTTAGGAAGGAGGCAGCCAACTTCATAAGCAGCGGTTCCAGGAGACTGAGGGCATCATGAATGCAGAAGAACGACTGAAGGTGACAGGGCCTGAACCCAGGAAGGTCTGGCTCAGTCCTGTCTCCTCCAGTACTGAACATCCCTTTATCTCTCTCAGGTTTTGGAGCAGGCTGGTCTCCAGTATGACAGTCACCCAGGCAACTTCCAGCCTCCTCTGAAGCCCTGGGCCTCTTTAGGGCTAAGCTGCTCCACATATCCACACACGTGTGCTCGCACCTAACTGTGCCACAGGCTCGGTAGTCAGGCCTCATTCAGCACTGGGAGGGACCCTGTTCAGCCAGCTATTGAAGAACTATTTATTCCCTCTCATAAGTAGGTGCAAAATCACCAGCTGCTGGGTACTGCAGGGCTTCTGGAAGTGCTTTGGGCTGCCCTTACCTTTATTTTGAAACTGATTCATTCTATGTCACTCAAGAACCTTTTAAGTATTCCCTCCTTGAACTCTGGCATCAAGGCCCTTTCCTGAACATCTGAGACTTTTCAACCTGCTTCGACCCCACTGGTGGACCTCACCCTCCCTCAAAAGGTTCTATGAGCGTCTGCTGTTATCCAAGTGAGAGGAGGTGCTACGGACTTTAGTGCCTCAGTCTTCAGTCCCATTCCCAAGCGAGACACGGCAAGGACAGCTGTAAGGCCTGCCAAGCACAGGATCCTCTTTCCCCTGCTTTGACTTCCCCCCATTCAGCTTTCCACAGCCGCCAACTAAACATCTGATCGAAGGCCCGGGGGAGGGAGTCAGAACTGTCCAGTCTGGTTATGAGTGAAGGTCATTGATCTAGCACAGACCAGGGATGCAGAAAACAGGGGAGGGAGGGAAAAAACCCTCAGAGAGACAGAAGAGAGGGAGTGATGCAGGCAGAGGCAGTGCGGGAATAAGAGCAGGGGAAGGCAGCGGAAGTGGCTGAAACATGGTTTCACACTCCAAGACCCAAGGGCTGTTGTCAACCCGTCCTTCATGCTCACATCTTGTCACACTAGAGGTCAGGTCTCCCAAGCGTTCCTGGAGAGCTGAGCTAGCCCATATGGCAGGCAATATGTTAACAATATGGATCAGCTGCTCGTCAGGGCCTGAGCAGATGGATGTGACAACCCTGTTCTTACCCAGACAGGCTTTTAACATCTTCCCTCCCCTCTGCTCAGCCCTGCTGGAAGAGCTCTGCCTGGGAACTGTTGCCTCCAGCCCACCTGAACTGTGGGGCCACAGGTCAGGACAAGCAGCAGGGAAATGCCTGCCTGGCTGTACCTGGATGGAAGCAAGCAGGGCAGAGCCCCATTCAGAGCAGTGCTGGCAGGAACCAGGCCAAGCATTTATCCAAGGACAGCGTGCTGCAAACGGAAAGGCCTCGCTGTAATCCAGACATGTGCTGTTAACTCCTAAGCAGGGTGATACAGGAGATACTCTATTCAGATATATGTATATGGCATGTTACCACCAGATGCCACACTTTACAGTCTAGACTGAGTTTTGTAACTGCCTGGGAAAAACTTCTCTCACAGAACATGTAATACATAAATAGATGTGTATTTTAATGGGCAAGTTAAACTCCTCCTGGCAAAGGTAAGCAAGTCGATTTCATACACAGGTGGGTAAATTTCCACAATGATTTTGCAAGGCTGTTTCATATTCCCCAGCCCAGCTCAGGATCTGAGCTGTCAGGGCTGGCTGGGCTGGCCCAGCTGCACTTCTGCAGAAGGCAGTGTTCCCATCTCATTCCCTTCACAGCTGTGCCCATGCAGTAATCCCAAGGATCCTAGCAAAAATAACGCCATCAGTCCAAGCTAACCCCCAAATTTAGCTTTACTTTAAGATTTAAACAGGGGGGAATCTTTTGCAAATTCAAACACAGACAGAGCAGGTATTTCTAATCCATTTTCTACACATTTTTTAGCTTTTTTCTCCCCTCATAAAAGTCTACTTTCATTAACCGAACAAGAAAACGCCCTCCAACCCTTATAGCTCTAGGACTAAACAGCCAGCTTGTGCTTATAAACAGTGAAAAAGCAATCGCAGCCTAGAGATAGGCTCTGGAGAATGTGCAAACAGCCTCTGTAGCCCAAAGTAAATTGAGCTTGTTTTGAAAGTAGAAGCCATACAACTTGCTCTAGGCCTGAAGACTGGAACACAGGGATTTCTAGTCCAGAGCACGAGAGATCACAAAGCCACAATGCCTGAAAGGCTAAATGCATCTCCTTCACTGCAGTGATGTTTGTAGAACGAGGGGGACCTCGGAAAACAGCTGGAGTCCAGGGAAATATTTCTATTGTCTCTAATGAGCTACTGTCCCTCAGGAAGCAGCCCCTGAAGGACATTCAGCAATGCACCCAGTAGGTCCTGGGAGGAGACAAACGTGGAAAAGGATAACTGATTTGCAAGAACCTGAACTTCAAGGATCACTTTCAGCACTTAAAGAACGCCTGACATATCAGTCTCCTCCTCTTACCTTCTTGTCTCAGAATTTCTGCTCATCCCAGGTCCAGGTCAGAGGACAATGTAGGGTTTTCAATATCACAGCTATACAAGCAGAAATCTGTGACAGGGGTCACAGAAAAAGCTCCTTGTGTTGGAGAAATCACCAGAACCTATGAGCCAGCTTCCTCAGCAGAGTTTTCTCCCCCTGGATGTTGAACCTCTCTGGAGAGGCACATAAGATGTTTGGTGGAAAATTCACCTGCTGCAGTCAAACCTGAGAATTTGTGTCTTATTTGGTAAAACCTCAAGGCTCTTCATGTTCCTTTACCTTATTCCCTCAGGCAGAGCTCCTATTTAGGAAGCTCTCTTGCCTCTGGAGGCCTGGGAAAGCATTGCTCTAAAAGGGGACACAAGCACCAGAGCAGCTCACGCAAGGATAAAGGCCAGAGTTCACTACACTTAATAGCTCAAAACCAGGCTTTCCAAGTAAAGCATGCCAGAACCTGGAGGTGTTTCAGCACTAGGAAGGTGTGGGAAGGCACAGCTCACCCCTGTCCCATCCTGAAGCACACTCTTTACTGGCAGACACTGAAGGCACTCAGACTCCAAACACACGGCAAGATCGAAGACCTACTGAGCCTTAGAGTGTCAGGCAGGGCTAGGGCATGCAGAACACAAGTAAATTCCTCTGAGCCACACATAGCCAGCAATGGAGAGGGATAGCTGGAGCCCCAGACCAACATCTGAGCCCTGTGACTTTTCCCATCTCCCCCCTTGCTAAGACAATACAGTCTCTCCACCTAGACCCTTCCAGTTCAGGTCTCAGCTGCACCTGTGGCTCACAACAGCTTTGGACACACTGCTTTGCCCAAGTATCATTTATGGCATAGCAGCAAAAAATAGAGGAACATGATGATACAGAATCCCCTCAGGCACTTCAGTTGCTGATCTTCATTCATTCAGGCATTATCAGCATTTAATGATGTCAACACAGTATGGAGATAGCCCCTGACAATCCCTCTCTGCCCCTACATACCATAGGTAATGTCATGCAAAGGCCAGACACAGCAAGGATCCTCAGCCCCTTCTACCTGCAGCAGTACGGCAGTGCCACCAGGTACCTCCCAAATCCCCATCCCATTGAGAAGAAATTTATTTTCCCAATTTTGTGTCATACCTTTCTTTGCAGAGAAGCTGTGACAGCAGCCAAGCAGAGAAGAAAGTAAAACAGCTTTTAGAAACAGAGTCCCACCCCCTCACAACCTCTCTGAGTTACCCACCGTGACCACAGACATCCTCAAACTCCTTTTGTGAAACAAGTCAATCAGAAACTGTCCCACACAATACTTACCCAGGGGACTCCCATGTGTACTACTTATCCAACTGTTAATACTGCACAGCAGCTCATTGGGAACAAGGTGAAGAGAAAGAGCTGCTCAAACCAGCTCTGCTGTGTCAGCTGGGTGAGGTGGGCAGTGATGGCAGGGGTAAACCCAGTCCTACTTGTAAGCCTGTCCAAGCCAAACCAGAATCCCACCATGCATTTACCACCTAAGCTGCTGATTTCCCGCTGCTCTTTCAAACTTCATGGGCTAGAGATTTCCCAGGAACTGGAATGAAGGCTCTGGAGTGCCAAAATCACTCACTCCAGTCCTACTTCAGAGCAGTTTGGTCACAGAACAAAAGCTAGTACCTTGCATTGAGAAGTCACAGGCTTCAAGGTCCATTCCAGTGTACAAAGCCAGGAGAGAAGTCAGGTTCTTTGTTTTGGAGGTGGTCTCAGGTGAAGACAGTGTGAATTAGATGGCCTCCCTTCACTTGGTGAAGTCTCTTTTCCCTGAGAAGAGTTTCAAAAGGAAATGAATATTCCCTACTGAGCAGCACCGAAGCTCAGGTGAATCATGAGCACAAGCAGTGACGCCAGCCTCAAATGCTGCAGCCACCCACAGACCTGAGCCCTTGGTCACACACAACAGGCCAGCAAGGCAAGGCCTTTCACGCCCTGCTGAACACCCTGCATCCCCATCTCCTTGTCTGCCACGTGTGGTACTTGCAACTCAAATGCCGAGGTACAAACCTCCCAGGTGACTATTCAGTGGACCACACGCTCCAACTTTCCCCAGAAAAAAAATCCAGGTCAATCAGTGGCAGAAGCAGCCTATGGCACTAAGCGACTTAGAGCAAAGAGCTTCCCCCTGTAGCCAGCTGAGCGTTCTGCCCACGTGAGCCTGGGCTGCCATCCCTCCTTTGGGGGGAATC